TCAATGGCTGAGATCCAGATAGGATCGAAAAGCTCATGAGCCTCCTTGCCCTTCTTCAGGTAAGGCCTCAGATCGTGGATAGTGTCATCAACGAAATTGGTCTGGACAACGAAGATTGACAGATCTCCCTGTCTGAAACCAATGGCACTAACATACTGATAATGGAATGCCTATTTGCATGAAATCCAGATGAGGCTGGCCAACACTGACTCACTGACCGGCGTAGGTTAAACTGTGCTCATGAGTACTCTTGCTAGTGCAAGTCAACGAGATGGTCCCGGAGAACTGGTTACCAAAACTGATTGCAGAAAACTGATTGCTGAAAACTGATTGCTGAAAACTGATTGCTGAAAATTGATTGTTGATGATTGATTGCAGATTAAATGATTGCTGATGTCCGGATAAGTGAGCTGTTCTTGTTAAGAGACAAAACACTCACTGATGGCTGCCAACAGTCCTCCTTGCTTCCTCAATAGTACCCACGGAAGTCATGGTGACACATAGTCTGCCGTTCTTATCATGCAAGTAGTATGTGTACTCGATTTTTGTATGATTCCTCACGAGGGTCAGTGCATGTTCCATCATCATAATAGTCTGCAGATTGTATTCCTCAACTGCACTCTCCCTCCATGTCTCCGCAGTGCTCTGATACAAGGAGCATGAGACTCTAACTGTGTTGCTGCTGTCCATATTTTTGTCGTTCTCCCACTACATCATTTCACCCAACTCGAGACGGGTGACTCTTGGATGATCTGGGTGTGAAAAGGCTGTTGGGTAGATTGTTGTTTCTTGTTGCTGTTCCTGGTTGCTGTTCTCCGTTGTCGTTTGCTCGCTGTTTGGTTACCAATTGACTGCGGCTACTGAGATTACCACTCTAAAAGGTTGTTTCCAACAACTGACTGGTTGCTGTTCTGAAAACTGACTGGTTGATGTTCTGAAAACTGACTGGTTGCTGTTCTGAAAACTGACTGGTTGATGTTCTGAAAACTGACTGGTTGATGTTCTGAAAACTGACTGGTTGCTGTGTGTTGATCAATTAAATAACCATGTAGTGATTGGGTGGCAGTTAAACACTGTTCTGCTCTGAGTATTGAACATACTGTCATGAGTATCACTCTCATCACTGAACATTACGCTGTGTACTGTTCTGAGTACCACTCTCATCACTGAACGTTACACTGTGTACTGTTCTGAGTATGAGCGTGATTTCAAGCACGACTCTAAGTATTGTCTGAATATTGTCCCCAGGTTGTGACTCACTATGTTACTCTGCTGCAGGTGGAGGGTTCAATCGGTTGCCACTAGAAGTTGATTGAATTTTGTGTGTACCACTGCGCGGTGTCTAGAGTGCTGCAGAACTCATACAAGTCTTGCCCTGGCCTGTTCCATACTCTCTAGCATGGAACTGGTACTGTGTGGTCTGTTGTCAGGCCTGTAGAAATAGGTTACGTATTCGATGTATTTTTTCTCACCTGCTATTCTGACTGCATGCTCTCTCTGCACTTGCCAGTGGATTTCCATGTCTTTACATACTTCTTCCTCCCATCCCTCTTTCTTTTCCCTGCGCTATTCACTATTAGGATCTCGTCGTCCCTTATGTCGCTTTTATTACACTCCCACGACGGTGAGCCCCTGAGTTCTGGGCAGCTAAACATTGATCAGAGAGACACTGATGTCTTGAATGACAGATGATAGATACTGGCCGAGTGTAGTTTGCTTACTATTGCTTTATGTTGATTATTGTTTCTGAATAGTCGTTTGAGCATTTGTTGATAAGATGTTTTTCCCACTGATTGGCAATGGGATAACAACTAAGCAATAGGTAAGTAGCAACTTGAAAAGGATAGAACACTGTTCCAAGCCCTGACTTCCACACAGCATGCCGTTGAGCCCTGAGGACTTCCAAACACTTTATCTGAGTTTTGAGCACTCATTAAGATGCCTTCTCTGAGCTCTGAGTACAGCTGAACGCTGTCCGAATGTATTCTAAAAATTAGCTGAGTTTTCGCGAAGGTAATGTCCGAGTCCTGCTTGAGTAATGCCTGAGCTTCGCTTGGGTAATGTCTGAGACTGATTTCAGGTTGCTTGCTGACCCGGTTATGGTTCACCAAAGTATTAACAGTTTTGCATCCGGAAAGATCAGGAAAACTAAAGACCTCGACGCGGACAACAACTATACGAGCACTGACAGCCTCTCTCTGCTAGAATTCAGGAAAATCCCATACTCAAATATCGAGTCACCCCCACCACCTGACTGTCATCCAAGCACCTAATGAACGCTCGGGATTCTTTTAACTACACCCCCCCCGAGTCACCCCTTCTGTCCTGGCGGAGGGAATGGGTCGCTCACACCCGGTCTGCGCCCTCCGTGACTGACCTGCTCACTAATGTCCTTAACTTGAGCCCGCAGGAACAGGGTGGAGGGTGGGCTGCAAGTGTTTCTCACAAAGCTCACTCGCCCCTTTTTACCTGACCATGGCACTGGCCCTCAGTCACTTGCAGACAAGGCCTTCTCTCGGGGTTCACATGTCTGGTCTCGCAAACCCGAGCAGTTAAGTAGTCAACTCAGCCCCCATACACCGCTTAGTATCAACCAGGTTTCCGGGTCGAGGGCTCAACTTTAAGTACGGCCCACTCGTACTACACGGACAGGTCAGATTCAGTGAGACACCCTAGTTAGAAGCTCGAAATTGCTAAAACTCAGAGACCAATTTTTCCCATCTGGAAACTAACGCCAGGCGCGTGACTAAATCGTATTCAGCTTTCATGAGAACTGATAAAACAGTGTTTCAGAGAGAATTGCCCTGGTAATCAAACCGTTATCAATTATGTAGATGATTATCTAAGGGCAACACCCCCTGAGAACAGTGAAAGGAGAGGTGCATACGGAGCGTTAGCAAGAACGAGTTTATGACTCTGCAGACTTTTTGAGTTGAAGCTTATTTCAGTTCGAACAGGTCCGGACACCTAGTCACCGTCAAGGAGGTACTTAGCGAGGACATACAAAATATTTCTCAGCATTGCTTTTCTCTTCCCCATACATCCGAAGTCAAGGTATAGACGGAAATCGGAAGGCAATGACCCCCATACTACATTTGACATGCAAAGTATTCTGGGAGTGAAAAGCAAGCTTGCATATTCGACAGATATCAACTTTGCCCTCACCAAACCCACCAAGAAAAGGAAACACTCAAGCATGCATTCCTCTACTTACACGATCGCATGCAAATTTATACGGTCACGCACTCAATCTCCCTTAGGTCACGTGTGAAGTCATACAGTTGCAAATGAGCATTCAAATGGGCAGATACGTGTAAACCCGAGCAGTCGTACACTTATGCAGTCACGCAAAACGTAGTCGCACGGTGCAGTCACATGGTGCGATCAACACTGTGCGATCACGCTATGTGACGACACCGTGCAGTTGAACGCTATGGTCACGTTGTGCAATCACGCGAGTAATCAGCACTGTACAGTCACACAATGTGACGACACCGTGGTACCAAGTCGTATTTGTAATCTCTGTCTCCGTCTCCAAAGGGGTATAAACATATGAATATGAGGGTTACATGCCTCTTTGGCTCTGCTAAATAGTCAGATAAGCAGCTAAATGCAAGTAGTACTTCCAAATGAACGAGTACACGGTCATGTCAACGCCATGAATGCTCAGCTCCAGCGTCACTAAGCACTCAAATTAGGCCTCAGTAAGCCGGCCCCCCTCCCATTATCTAGCCGTTTGCACGGCCTACCGAGGGCCTGATTCGTTATCATGAGGCAGCTTGATTGGTTAATAACGATCTTTCACACTAATTAGCCGGACTAAAAAGAAGAACACTAAGCAGAATAGTAAAATCAGCAGAAATAGTGTGGGATTATTTTGCAATGACTATTATCTTATCTGAAGACACGGTTAAGTTGGTCATGAAAGAAACGCGTTGACGACCCTTGATCGCAGTCCCCATTACAGGTTGAAAGTCACAAGATGAGGGCGAGACAGATAGTCGTCAGTGCAAATGCTCACACCGGTAAGTGAAAACGTTCTCAAGATGCAAGATATGCCTCCCTCTCGCTGGTTTCGTCTGTTTCAAAATTCCCTTTTCACGCGAGACGGCAGACCTTTCTCACGCTGGTTCCGCACATGCCCTGTGGAGCACGTGCGTTGGACTCTTCAACGGACAACTCACTTAGAAGGCAGTGGCAATGTTCTTGGACCGCATGACGAGCCAGCTATCCAGAGCATGCGTACAGGCGTATCTTCACGTCTCTTCTCAGCATAACAATATGAGGAGTACGTTAGCCAACAGTTCGCTCAGACACTTCTATGCGTGTAGATGACGAAGTCCGCCAGGAGAGCAAGGGTCGAAGCCTTCCATTGCCCCTGTGTTGACATCAACACGCCCTTTCTGCACAGACCGTCCCGTACCTATCACAGTGTCTGAACTCTCTCTCTCTACATCCTGCCCCCAATCACAATTCTACCCTTAGATGGCATGGCCACGCTTCGTCAGCTCAACACTCGTAAGTGTTGGGTGACTGACTGCCCCAAAAGCAGTCTGAACAGACGCTCGCTCGACCTAGCTCCGTCAGTGTACAACTCGCCACGTGTGTACCGTGCACACGCATAACCCCCTGTGCTTGTCTGTCTCCCCGCGATTAGCCCACTTGTCTTTCCACCTCTCTGACGAATGTGTTAGGCGCACGCGCTGTGATCATGCACAGCCCACTGATTTTCTCATCCACCACCTCTCTCTCTCTCTCTCTCGTTGACCTCCCCGCTCTCTCAGACTGCCGCGCATGTCTCGGGCGTACTGCCCACTCTCCCTCTCACACCTCTCGTTGACCGCCTTCTTGCTCTCCCCCCGGGCAGCGCCACGTGTCAGACGAGTCTCCGAGCATGTCCCCGTCCAACTGCCCTTGCCTCTGTTTCGAGATTCGTCCTGTTCCCCCTCTCTCTCTCGTGTGCTCTCAGGACTGCCTTTTCCCCTTGCTCGGCTTCTCACCCGCTCTACGGCCTCTGGGTGTCAGCTGTCGTGAGCTGGCCTCAGGTCCCTCTTCCACCGGCTTTGCAGCCTGGTGATGCCTCTGGATCTCGCCCGGTCTGATCCAGGACCTGAGGTCCGTCTCCCAGTCTCCCGCTTCACTCATTTCACTCTCACCGTTTGAGTCCCTGTCCACGTGGGCCTGTTCCAGGTCCGCTGTGTCCATTGAGGTCTCGGTCTCATGATACGAGACCGTTACCTGCAACCTTGCAGTCACTCGGTCCCTCCTGCACCGCCTCTCCGCACGGTCTTTCGCCTCCGTGATCGCATCCTGCAGTTTTCCATCCATCCGCATCTCTACCTCTTTTGCCCCTTCCACGTTAATTTTCATCTTCACTTCATCTCCCCCATCGTAGTTGAGCATGACAGTGATCCAGGGCCCTTCCCCGGACATGGGTCTCCACCGGGCCTGGTGGTACCAGTATCCGGGCCTATACCCATGCAACGCCATAACTAGGCTCAGTCCGATAAACAGCGCACCGGCCCTGCCTACTGACCCGAATGACCAGTATCCCCCACAGGGTACACGGACAGGGCCTTTAGGTGGGTTCACACGTCCACCCCACCACTTCGTTCCCCCTTCATCGACTAGGCCGCAATCGCACAGCGAGACCGTCTGAGCCCTCCTCGTATGAGACAGCCCTCCCTTCTTTATAGGATCGTTGTCTATCGCATCTCCAAACTCGGCATAGACCGCCCCGCTATTTTCTTGTCGATCTGTGTTTTTGTTCCGACCAAAACTTTTCTTTATCAAGTTAGGTAAAACAAAAATTAAAAATGAAAAATGAGAATCAGACTAAGAAAAGAAAATTAAAACGAGAGGCATAATGCCAACGGTTATATCTTCTACCCTCACCCCTTTTGCTCAGAAGTGACCTGCAGACACCACGCTGAGGTCCCATAACGGAATACGAAGGGTCACATTTTCCCCTTTAAAACGCAGCACAGGCTAATCTTCATCGGGTGCCCGTGTCCGATGGCAAGGATGGGGCTTATGACCTCCTATAGGGGGTGATGGTATCCCTACCGATGCGGCCGCGAGTCGCCCCTCTTTTGGGGTCCTGCAACGCGGCACTCAGCCCAGCAAGCTCAGAGCAAACAATATACGAGGGGTCGACCCACTTAGGCCGCACAAAATAGCTCAAGCCCGAATTTCCAATCGTTGGCTTTCCTATGAAGTGACAGGCTAAAGGCAAACCGAATCGGACAATCGAGCAAAAAAGAAAACTGAGTAATAATAGAGAAAAGGAAAAGATGGCGTTTCAAAATTCCGCCGCGCAGCAGCCTCGCCCGAACGGCAATACAAGCCCACGCGCAAATCTAAAGCCCGACTTCCAATCTTTTCCCTTCCTTTTCTCCCTTTTCTTATTTTTCTCTCTTCAGTCCTCTCTGTATCTGCCCTTTTTTTTTTCTGGCCACCGGGGTCTCACCGCGGGGTTCGGACAAACAGGTCTGGTACAGGTGATATACAACGGGTCAGTAAAACCCAGGCCATAAGACCGCAGTTACGGTCCGAAAACCCGAATCGGCGCCCCTTTCCCTACGAAGTGACAGATCGACAGGCGGAAAACCGAAAACAGGGAATTTTAGTAGTAATAACAATAACAATAATAATAATAATAATAATGACGGCAATTCAAAATTTGAAAAGGAAACCGTAGCATCACAGCGACCTGAGGCCACCTGATTTCCCCATGCAAAAGAAAACGAGTTTAACGTTTTATTCTTCTTTTTCTTTTTTTCTTCCCCGACGGCGACTTCTACCCCTTGCACCTAACCCATAACTTGACCAGGGCATGTTCGGCGCGCAGTAGAGAAGACAACGTCGGTCTTTTCAACTCCGCGTCCCAGGGCGAACCCGGCGGTTACCACGGCCACAGGCCGGTTGTGCTCTGCTGTACAGCAGGGCGCCGAGCCAGCGTGGACCAATGGAAAGCCCTGCGGCACACCTTTTTGCTAAGGCAGGCGCCAAACAGAACTGGTCCACATCGTGGTACAGCCCAAGTACCAAATGTCATAGTGTTTTCGGGGGTAGCTTCGGATCGCAGTACTAGAACTAAAGGTGGTACCATGATGAGTTGCTATAGCGCCAGCAACGAAACGGGTCGAGGGATGCGTCTTGGGATTTAGTCGGACGTGAGGGAGCTGAGGCGGATGGGGGATTTTGCAGTAGCAAGGAATTACGATATTAAAGACATGTTTGCTAGACTCTCGCACGACAGTGTAATGGAAGCAGTTAGTTGGGTGATCGAGTTTCATAAGAAGAGGGGAATGGTAGGGGTGAGGGTAAGCCATAGAGGGGAGGTGTGTATGATGGCCAGAAGTAATAAGAAGACCGATGGATTTGTACTCATAGATTTCGCTATGTTGGTGAGCGCGGTGCAGTTTGAGCTAGAGAATACATTCGTGAAAAGTGTCGGGGAATTTCTGAGGCAGGTTTTCGGAATTCCTATAGGAAGGAATTCCAGTCTGACGATAGTATGTTTAGTATGTGTCTGATCAGAAGCAATCTTTCTTGAGTCCCTAGGGTGTGATCGACACATAATCCTGGGTATGAGGATAATTGATGATGTTACAGTGATTGTGGCATGTAAGAATGGTAGCGGGAAATCAGTGGTGATCGCTAAATGTATCCTTGATCTCTTTGAGAGTTGCTACGATGAGAATCTGTGGTTGGTTCAGAGGGACGAAGGCACAAATATTTTCAATTTCCTGGGGACACGAATGATGGTTGAGCCTTCGTCCATAAGAATCCATATCTTTCCCCGAACCAGAAATCAGGAGCATCTGGCCAGCTATGGAAGAGTTAGGATACACTCAATGCAAGATTACCACTCGTACTCGAGGAAGTCCAGGAAGAAGACTACGCTATGTGCCAGTTTCATTCGGATCGTAGGATGTGGACATGTGAAGAAGCTACCTTGGCGTCTATTTCGGCCATCTGTGGGATGCACACCTCCGGGATTATCCCCCGGAGGTCTCTCTTGCTACTTTAGCGAGATTCGCTAAACTTTCCGGTGGTCCGTGGAGGGCTAGTCTCTCCGCGATGTACCCCGACACCAAGAAGTATGGGTAGGAAGCAAAAAGCGAGAGTGGGTGACGAACCAGAAAGGACGTTATGCAGGCAATTTCCATATAGAAATTTTCCTTCTCCGTATCGTGGTATTTTCTCGTTGTATTTTATTTTATTTTGTCTATCCCTTTTCCCCTTTTCCTTTTCTTTTTTCTTTTTTGAGATTTCTTTTTCGCTATTTCAGAAAGGGTCGAGTACGGTTGTCCGAAGATGTAGTATTAGGAAGGGTTGTCGGGTGGTTTGTGCGATTTCATATATGGATCACGGTGGGAAAAAATAGGCAAATATACGGCAGTTTTTTCAAAGTACGATGAGACCCACATAGGAGTCACCAGGGAGAAAGCCGGAATTTGGGAATTTTTTGAACTAAGTAACCAGCAGCAGGGCGAGAGGGAATGGCGCAGGATAAAGCCAACGGATCACAGAATGAGAAAGTTTTTTTGAGAACGGCGTCTTTAGGGAATGTAGAGACAGATTAACTAAGTATGGGTCTGAACAAGGGAGCGAGCCTGAAGGCATATGATCCGGAGATATGCAGAGAGGAGTCGGAAAGAGGAGAAGAAGAGGGTGATGGACAGAACCAGAAATAGGAAAAGGGCAGGGCGGGAAAGTCTTGCAAAGACGGTATGGGGTAACGACACGGAATGGAGAGAGGAAGGGAAGAACGAAGGTGAGTATAGATGAGCGCATGAGGTAGACAAGGGTAGGGAGTGGAGAGAGTAGGACAACGCGATCGATATTATAACACTTACAGGCCGCGGAAACAGAGGACAATCGGTATAAAAGCCGAAGGGAGGAACGGAGGTTCACACTAAGGGCTGCACTTCTGCTGCCTTTGCTTTTAGATCATCGGTACACCGTAGATCAAAGTGCCTGCTTTCTCCAATTCCAAGAAGCATAAACCGTACTGCCCTTCCCACTCTTGCTCCGGCGAGTCGTGCCGGGTCCTTTGATGCCGGCGATATCGGTCTCCATCTTTCCAAGTCTTTATCTTCCGGAATGACATAGGCCTGACCGATCTGCCCTCCTTTGCCCCACTCGCCTATCTTCTTCAACCCTCTCCTTTCATACTCGGTTTTCATTGTTCTCATGATCATCTCTTATGTTCCCTGTACGACACGGAAGCTGGGACTCCGATTAAATGCCACTTCACATGCTTCTAAGTACAGACCTGGACACACGATCAGTGTGGCTCCGGGATTGCGGTCAATCGGCACCGCGATCAAATGCCCAATCCTTCGAAACCAGCTTCTCACCTGCTGGTTCGTCATTGCCTGTATTCCCTGATTCACTTGCACTTTGATGAATGCTGCTACCTCATTTTCATGGAACTCCACACGACGACACTTCGATCATGCTTTCACCCTGTCCCTTACGCATCCTCGCAGCTCATCCTCTGAGACTTCTTCCCCGCACGTCACATTTCGTGAGTTAATTACGAAACTCGGAGCCTTAGGTATGTCGTCTAACCTCACCTTCACATGCCGATGTGATCGTGGAAGATCCATCTCCGCGCACGTGCATATGACCCTACTTGCTCCGACACATATATGTTGGTTATGGATGACTTGTCCCACCATGTGCCTCTTCCTAAACACCACCTGGACCCTCGCGGATATGTACTTTGCCAGACGCGGATCACCCACTGTTCTCTCAATAGTTCTCACGGCAAGTTCCCTTACCCCACGCGTGTTGATCTTCATGCAGAATGGTATTCTGAAAATAGGTTTCCTCCTTATCTCGGTCCTGAACACTGCGTTCACGACCCTCGTGATTTTCACCTTCAACATATTTCGTGTGTACATTCTCCCGAACGTATTAGCCGTCTTGAATAACGCAATGAGGTCGGCGGACTTCTTCCGATACAACTGCGTAATCCTCCACGGTTGCCGCAAAAAGTCCCGCAGCACATTCCATCTATGTACCACGGCTGAAGTGTTTATCCTGACCCGCACCACCTTGAAAATTCCTCCCTTCTCAATCTCTGTCTTGCATTCGCTAAGTGCCCGTTTCTCTCCTTGCACCTCTATCGTACTATTCCCAACTTTTCCCTTCACTATCTTCCACTTCTTTACCCATACCTCTCCCCCATCCGATACGAATTCCCCTTCTCTCCCCATTCGCTGAAACAACGTTATCAAGGATGCATTCCTCCCAAACGTAATGACTCTTCCTTGCCTGACCATCGATTTCCTCTTTCCCCTTTCTCTCTTCCCTTTCCTTTTCCTCATCTTCCTTCTCCCCTCGATCCTGCCTTGGGTATTCAGCGTGGGAGAATACCTCCCAATTAGTGACTTTTTTATTACCAGCGGTCCCTCTGCGTCTACCGAGATGGGTAGCACTAGATATTTT